CTTGTCTGCTTCCAGACTCGTTATTGACAGGTTCTTTTTAGTAAGCCACAGGCAGAGAGGGAAAGAAAACATGTCTTGAAAACCTACTATGTGCCAGGAACCTTCCGGATACCTTCTTCCCTAACAGAAAGCACCCTCTGGTTTGTATTTATGCAAAACGGTAAACTCTAAAGACAGAGGGAGGAGGGAGCCCTGAGTGGGTCCTGGAGAGTCATTTTCCATTCCCCAAAGCAAGTCCCCGAGAAGCAGTTTCAGACATTGATGCCCTCTGAGTCGCCACACTCCCTGGATACACAGTGGGGGCTGATAAATATCCCAGGACTGCAGGCCTCTCCCCGCTGCCACAGCGTCCACTCTGACTCACAGTGACCCCACGGGACAGGGGAGAACTGCACTCATGAGTTCCCAAGACTTATCACCCTTGATGGAAGCAGAAAGCCCCGTCTTTGTCCCCAGGAGCTGGCAGGCAGTTTGGAACTGTTTGTTGACCAAGATGCGACCAGGGTTCCTGGTGGCTGCTCTGCAATTGTTCTCAATCACACTTCCGTGACCCACACATAACTGAGGACCGAGGGCCGCAGGCCCAGCCAGGGAACCCGAGAGAAACCCCCACTTCAGACAAGTCTTGTCCGCAGGCGCAGGCAGCTTTTATAAGCGTGGTGCTGGTGCGCTCCGTCTGCCCCGAGTGCAGCGAGAGCTCATTGAATGAATGCTCTGGAAACCAAGCGCCTTTGTCAGGGAGCTGGCTGCTCTTCCCCAGACCCCATCATCCATCATCCGTAAGGGGGTGGGGTGTGAGGCGCCCCGCAGGGCTCTGGGAAGCTGGGGAGTTGGGAAGGGCCCTCAGGTGGTTCCCATCTGCCTGTGAGCAGGGTTGATCTTGGGCAACATGCTGTGGTTTGGGTCCTTGATTCCCCTTGGCGATCCTCCCCCACCCCGACCACTCCCATTCTGTGGTCATTGTATACTTGCCATACACCGAGACTACTAGTCCACCCAAACCATGCTGTCTTCTACTCTGCTCAGCGCAGGGAGCCTGAGAGGCCCCCCTCCAACTGTCTAGTCCTGAAAGAGCTCACCATCTCCAGGCAGTGCCACGTGTGCTCTCAGGCTACATAAGCACCTAGAACTGGCATCCCCGGTGCTGTCAATGGTGACTTGCTCCCACGCCAATGGAAGGAAGGGCTGGAGGGCCAGGTCCACCCATGGCACCTTGGGAGAAAGGCCTGGCACTCTACTTGCGAAAAATCAGCTCCTGGAAGCAAACCCTAAGGAGCACTGTTCTGTTCTGACACATGGGGTCGTCATGGGTCAGAGCTGATTCAACAGCACCTGGAAGGGGGGGTGGGGGGATGCCAGAAGAAGCAAATCCAGAGTAAGAGCAAACTGGCTGTTGCACCCCAGACCTCCAGCCGCTCACATCTTTAGGCAGCATCAGGTTGGACACATGACATACGTCCCTGCATTTCAGGGAGATGCTGAACACAGGCATCCAGTGATGAGAGTACGCTGTGTGTGTGTGTGTGTATAGATGCTCTCCTTCCGTGGCTTCTTCCCCAAATAAAGCATGACAAATGCCAGGGCCGGGCACAGCTCTGTGCCTGGTGCGGGAGCACAGCTGCTGACGCTGTTGGCGAGAGCATGCTGCCCAGAGGGTTGCCATACTTCCCTCAGCGCCTGAGTCTGGTGTGACCTTTGCTCAAAACGACTTCCAAGTACCTTTTACACCAGCAGCTTGCTAAGGAGGCGACCCCCATTTTGGCCTGCAGAGACTTCTTGCTTTGAGAGGGACAACTGGCCTGGAAGTGCCACTCAGAACTTATGGTCATGGGTTTGCTGTGGCCAGATCCACGAGAGAGGCAGGGCCCGGGGCCCCAGGCTCAGAGAGGCACATACAGCCAATGGGGCAAGCCATGGTCTCCCAAAGTCTAACCGCATCAAACCACCTGGCTTCTTGGTTCAGATCAACATTCGGGAGCAAGGTCTATAATAAGGAGAGTGCTTTTCCCAGCATGGTGGAACACTGCAGTGGGGAAGCCAGGAGGTGGCCATCCTGTCCCAGTCCAGGCGTCTCCAGTTACCTGACTGGGATCTTGAGGAACGCGTGAGCCCATGGCTGGGCGGCCGTGGTGGGGAGCAGTGCCCCGGGCCCGGGCATTGGAGGCCAGTGTGGGGACCTGAAGAGAGCTTGCGGACCGGCAGGCGCAGAAACCACGCAGAGTGTGCAGGTGATGAGAGCTGAGAGCCGTGGAACAGGGTGGCACCAGCGGAGGCCCCGGGCCCAGTCCCCTGCAGCCCAGGAGCAGCAAGGTGGTCTGTTTGGATGGCCTCTGCAGAGGCAGGGCTGAAGCCTCCTGGAGGGGAGGAAGAGGGACTCCCGCCGGAACCGGCGTCTTCTCCACTCCCCCCACCCTGACTGCGGGGCAGCTGGAGGCACGCCTGGTCTAGCCTACAGAGAGTTTCACTCACTGCTGGTCATCAGCTCAAGAGAAGGCCCAGCGGGGCTGTGGTGGGCTTGGACCACCAACTGGTGCTCTGTGCCCAGTTCTCAGGGCAGAAGCGCCAGTCACAGTAACGAAACCCTAGGCGTCTCTCCCTCGCCCCACCACAGAGCCTCTGCCCCTTACTGCAGGACCTTGGTGCTGCGGCAGTCACTCGGGGCCAGGGGGAGTTGGGGGAGCATGCTCCAGGAAGGGCAGGCAGCTGGGGGCAACAGGAGCGGGGACTCCAGGCCCTGCAGCGCCCCACGATCCAGGCTTTCACTTCTTAAGTGACTCTGACACTAGACTGGGCACCCCCCCAAACTGAACCTGCATGACAAATGACCGGCAGCCCAGCTAATAGGACCCATGCACTGTCCCTAAGAAAAGTGGCTTTAGGGATATGTAATCCCACTCTGTCCTCGGATCACTCCCCCGACAGAAGTGAAACCCCCTCTCCGGGACCGCAGACGAGCCGACAGCCTCTCTCGGTAACAGAAAGCCGGTCGCCATGATTCATCAGCTCTCGGAACAGCCAGGCAAGCCAGGCAGCCCCAGCTCCGCAGCAGAGAAGAGGAGTGGTAACGACAACGGTGTCCCCCTGCAGCAGGGAGGGGCGAGGCCCCTCTCAGAGACTGCTCATCCCACACAGAGTGTCTGCCTACTCAGCCAGGTTCCCTCACACTTCCGGTCTCCTTTGACGTGCACTAGAACCCTGCAGTGTTGCTGCCCAGCCTGGAGATGACACGAGACAGTTCCCGCGTCTCCTCGGAGCCCCCCGCCACACCAGCTGTTGGCTAGCTGAACATGGAAGCAGACAGTCAGGGGCAGGATACAAGTGCCAGCCCTGTGGAGCCAGGCCAGCAGTGTGAATGTAGCTGCAGCCTCGGCCCTGACTTGGGCTGTGCACCTGCCCCACCCCCCACCCCTGTAAGAAGAAGTGTCGCAGTAAGAGAAGGAAGGAGAAGAGGATCTCTGGCCAAGCCGCCTGATCTGCATTCTCTCTGTGGCCGAGAGCACGAAGCAGGTGTTCTGAGAATATGGGCAGAAGGGAGAATTTTCCTCCGGAAGCAGGAATCCCATCCAGGGATGAGGAGTCACCGGCAGGCTCTCAGGCCCTACCTGAGAGCTGCCCACACTCTGCGCTTGGGGGTCGTGGGGCCTCCAGAGGAGACCGAGGCAGAGTCTACAGCCAGGCCCCCTCGACTGCCCAGACGCCATCAGCTTCCTGCTATTCTCTGGGTTGCCGTCGAGCGGCTTCTGACTCATGCCAGCCCTGTGCTCCGGAGGGCTTTCTACGGCTGATGTGTCAGCAGGTTACCAGGTCTTTCCTCCCAGGCACATCTGGGTGGAGTCGAACCTCCAGCATTTGAGTTGGCAGCTCCGTACCACCAAGGACTCGCTGCTTCTGACTGCCTAGCAACACCGGGCCAGCGTCCGAGGGCAGGGCAGATAAGAAGGCAATTCGAAGAACTAAGCAAGGCTGTCCAAACGAAGGGAGGGCCCTGAAAGAACACACCCAGGGTGCAGGTACGGAGGAGTCATCTGAGCAATGGAGAAGGGAATGATGACTCTGCTTTTTTTTTGGTGGGGGGGGGTACAAGCAACAGGGGACATAAAAATGGAGAGCCAGTTTGGAGGGCAGAGGGGACTTTGGCTCCAGAGTCTCTGGATTTCAGGGGACAGCAGGTCATCCAAGTTAAAACAAAAAAGACAAAAACCCAGCAGGCCGAAGGAACACAGAGTCAAGGCAGAGTGATCATAAAGCATCAACCTGACTTTCTCTATTTTAAAGACTAGATGATCCCTCTGCTGACGTGCCTATTTCACCCTGCTCCCTTAACGATGCGCCCAGAACATTGGGGACTACAGCAGAGTAAGTGAACCTATTTTTTAAAAAAGATCAAAATAGCCCTTTCAAGACATACTCCAAAAATATTCAATAAAATCCAGCTCCATAACAAAAATGCCCTGAAAACATTTAAAAGAAAATCCATCTCTAATAATGCCCAGACCAGACTATCTACAACCCAGGGCTGGCAAGGGTGCAGTAAACTGGCATTTATTTCCGTGCACGCTGGAAGACAGAAACGCTTCTGAGAAGCCATGTGGCAATACGCATTGAGTCATAAAGTGCGAGCATCTTCGAGGAATCGATCCGAGGAGCAGAGCCAAAAAGAACGGTGTGTGAGGAGCAACCGAGGCCGGGCACCACACAGAAATGCTCAGTATCCATAACAACCCGAAACTGGAAGTCACTTCAATATCCAACCACTGAGGAGACATGAACACTACAGGTCCGTGGGGGAAATACTCACCAGCACGGATACGGTAGTTATGAAGGCTATGTGGTAAGAGGGAAATCAACCTTTCCCCCTCTAATTTTAAATGAAAAACAAAAAACCAGGTCTTGTGGTTCAGCAGCAGTACAATAATAGTATTGTGTGTGTTAAGTCACATTGGACTGCTTTCCGTGGGATGTAAGTGACTGGGGATGTTTCAAGTGACTGGGGATGGTACCTTGGCTCCGTCCACGCTGATGATCCGGTAGCTGTTTCGTGTGACATCGTAGAAGTAGGAGACGGTAACCGCCTGCTTGCTTGCCGGCACCCAGTTCTTCTTGGTGCTGGGATCGATCTGGAAGACGTGCGCTCGGGTGGTGAAGATGGGCTGTTCTCTGCAATAGAAGAGATGGGTTTGTGAGCTGATGGAAGCGGACTATGTATGATTTATACCCCAAGGTCAGCAGTTTGAAACCACCAGCCGCTCCTCAGGTGAACGCCAAGGCCAAAAGAGTTACAGTCTCGAAAACCCACAGGGGCCAGTTCTTTTTGTTTTGCTTTTTTTGGCCAGTTCTACTCTGTCCGGCACAGCTGCTGTGAGCCAAAATCAACTTCATGGCAGTGACCTTGGTTTGACTGTCCAAAAGACCTTAAACGGTGTGTAAGGTTTTGGCCATTCAAACGCACCAGCAGTTCTGCGGGAGAAAGGTGAGGCAGTCTGCTCCCACACAGAGCTAGAATCTCAGAAGCCTCGGGCCATAGCCGGAGCAGACTCAATGGCAGTGGGCTTGCTTTGGGGCATGCCGAGAAAGATGCACATGCATGCATGTGCCTCTATAACCAAAATAAGAGAAGGGAAGACAGGAGACAGAAGGGCACTGGTGGGCAGAAATTCATTCTGTTTAGCAGCTGAGCCTTTAGGGCCCTGTTGTAATGAGCAAGGTGCTTAAAATTCAAACTGCTCAGCCGAGTGGTTTTTTTTTTTTTAATTGGCTTCCAGGGAAGTGTTCTATTCTTTTCCTGACATCTTGCATTAGAATCTTAGATTATTAGGATCTTGGAAGCAGTTCATTTTTAGGACTTTGCACTAAATCTCGCTGGGAGTGATTCTGTAACAATTTTAGGTTTCCCCAGCTCGTGTGCAGCTTAATGTTTTACTTCTATTAAGTACTTCTCAAACTTGCAGTATTTTACGGACGACGGAATTATTTTTATAGCCTGTGGGTATCCATTTAGCTTACTTTTGGAACCGCTTCAGCATTTCTGAATGTGGCTGAGCTTTAGAGTTTTATGTTTCTAACTTATAGGTCTTGAGGATGTACTTGAAATTCACCAAATCCATCTCTTAGGCTTATTCTTGGCTGTGTGTTATTGTCGCAGTTCACCACCCCCCACCCCCACCCCCACCCCCTCCCCTTCTACTCAATCCACTTGCAACCACTTTCTGTGCTTACTTACCAAACGAGCCCCGTATCTAATATTCTGTGGGGAATCTGATTTTGACAAGTATTAAGAAATAAGGCAGATCAATAAAAACGGTAACGAAATTTAAGGTGTCGACTTTACAGAATCACGAAGAAATATATTTGTTTTGGGGGAAAAAGTGGATCCTCGGTAAACTGGCTCAAAAAGCCTTAAAGTGTCTAAGATACTGCAAATTTGAGGTGGCGTGGGGAGGAGGGGAGCTAGAAGAGAATCCAGCATTCATAAAACGCTGCAGCTGTAATTACTACAGTTGCAAAGTTAAGCCGGGAGATAAATGAACTTTTCGAAATCCTTTCAATGTGATAAGAAGAACAAAGGGCTGTTGCTCTCGATCCCGACCCAGGGTGACCCAGTGAGACTGAACAGAACCGCCCCACGGGGTTTTCCAGCGCCGTAGTTATGCCGGCTGGCCAGGCGCTTTTGGTCCGCAGGCAAGCGCTTAAACCGCTGCACCACCAGCACCAAACTCCCAAATCGGCTCACTGGAGTGGTTTTAGACAAAGCAATCTCTGAAGCCACCCTGATTCTGGAAAACGTCATCATCATTGTTGGGGGTAGAAAGCACTTCGTGAGAAGCGAAGCCTGTTTCTAGAAAAGCAATTCATCACTTGCCCATAAAGCCAGGGTACTGTCTAGCTCACTGCCATCAGGTTGATGCTGGCTCACAGTGACACTACAGGACAGAGGAGAACGGCCACTGTGGGTTGCTGAGACTGGACCTTTTCTCCCAAGGAGCGGCTGGTGGTTTGGAACTGCTGACCTTGAAGCTAGCAGGCCAACACGTAACCAGTATGCCACCAGGGTTCCCCAAGCAAGGGATGCTGACTAGCACAGCATCAACCCTCACTCGGGGTTCTCGAGAAAAGCAAAACCATTGATTTCTCCGGCTGAAGACAAACCAGAGGCACGCCATTAGCACTCGCTCAGTACTGCAGATTTTAGGGGTCTCCCACCTGCCTTGCCCTCTGAGGCCCCCAAGCAAGACCAGTGCTCTGGGGACACGGATTATACAGATGTGTCTCCTCCCTCAACAGGGCCCAAGTTCAGGAGATGAGTCCCTCACCAAGGCCCTTCAGCTGTAGCACCAAACACCATCCTCTCCCTACAATTTTCTCACCTTTGCTGCTGAGAGGACCAGTGTGTACACTAACACCAGCCCTCCTAAGCCAGCCTGCTTGGTGACAGCTGGCACCTGGATCTCCCAGCTGGGTCAGCCCAGCTAATCATCCAAGCACAAGCCATGAAAGAAAACACTTCTGCGTGCATGCGTGTGTGCGTGCGTGCAGCACTCTGTGCATATGTAACAATGAAGAGTGACCAAAGGGCAGTAACAACAGCATTAATTTTTTTTTATTTTGTTGCTGTTGCTGATTTACAGCAAAGCTCACACCAATTCAACAATTCCTACACGTGCCATTGAAGGACACTGGTGACATCCCTGTGTTTCTGAGTTGTTCCTCCTTCACTAACATCAACTCACCGCCCGAGACTTCCATCTGACCATTCCATATAGCTCGATCTTAAAGCAGCATAATGCTAAGAGCACGCTTTTCACCACTTGTTAAGCTACACTACTGTTCAGTTTTAAGATGACTTCGGGGGTATTTTTGGTGCAAGGTTTCAAGATTACCTCAGGGCGGTAGTTTCATGGAATGCCCCCAGAAAAGTCTCCAGTCTGTGAGAATTCCAGATTCTGTTGTGAATCGCCCCCACCCCTGCTCCCCGTTGATCAATATTCTTCTACAGAATCTTTGATCAACATGTTCAGTAATGGTAGACAGGCACCATCCAGTGCTTCCGGTTCTTGGCAAAGGAGACAGTCATTCATTCCTTCTCCTCCTACCTCTTCCTCTGCTGCTCCAGGCGAGTAGAGACTGACTGTGGTGCTTCCAAGACCCCAGGCACTAAGCAACAAACAGAAGCACTCAACCTGTTATTAGACCAATCAACTGGAGTGACTCATGAAATAATGTACTGTAAACCTCGAAACCAAAGAATCAAATCCCATGAGGTATTTGGTGTACATAAGCAGGCTCAGCAGCATCACCCCTCCTTTTGGGGGGCTCATTGTTGTAAATGTTTTATCATATAATTTTTGCCACTTCCACTTTTTTTTACAGGTGTACAACTTATTGACCAAACCAATAATTGATTACGACTCATAGGTTTTGGTGGCTGTACATCTTTACGGTAGAAAGCTTCAAATTTCTCCCACGGAGCAGTTGGTAGGTTTGAACCATTGACCTTGTAATTAGCAGTCCAATGCTTACCTGACTGCTACCAGGACTCCTCAACTTACTGAGCAAACAAACAAAAACAAGCTCACTGCCATCAGGTCCAGAGAGTTTGGATTTTGTTTTGTTTGGTCAATAAGTTAAGGAGTCCTGTCAGGTAACTTACTGTAGTACTTATAATGATCAGGTATACCACCTTATCCTTCATCATGTGATTTTTTTCTATCACTACTAACCCCCCCCCCACCCCGATCTTCCTGTTCTGTCTCTATGGGCCTTCTATTATATGACTTGAATGAGGTTGTACAGTATTTGTTCATTTGTGACTGGCTTATTTTTCTCAGCGTAAAATCTTCAAGCTCCATTCATCCTGTACCATGTGTCAAGAGTACCTTTCTCCTACTGACTGAGTAATAGTTCATTGTAGGTATGTACCACCTTCTATTCCAATCTTTTAAAGTGATTTCATTAAGAGTATTGGGCTTTATCAAATGCCTTTCACCATCCAAACAGATGATCATATAGTTATTTTTGTTGTTGTTCTATTAATGTGGTATATTGTGATTTTCTAATTTTTTTCCTTAAAAAAAAAATCATTTTATTTGGGGCTCTTACAGCTCTTATCACAATCCACACATACATTCACTGTGTCAAGCACATGTGTACATATGTTGCCATCATCATTTTCAAAACATTTTCTTTCTACTTGAGCCCCTGGTATCAGCTTACGTTTTGTGATTTTCTCATGTTGAACCATCTCTGTAGTCCTAGAATAAGTCCCACTTGTCGTGGCTTATGGCTTTTAAAATGCTGTGGGATTCTACTCACTCGTATTTCCTGAGGGTTTTTGCATCTATATTCATAAGAGATACTGGCCTGTCGCTTTATGTTTTTTGTGGCATCTTTGTCTGGTTTTGGTCTGGGATCACGCTTGCTTCCGTGGGTGAATCAGGGCGCATTTCTTCCTGGCTTATCTTTTTGAAGCGTTTCAACTCGATCGATTGGCGTCCATTCTTCCCCCAGTGTTGGCAGAGGCCTCAGTGAGGCCATTTGTTCCCGAACCGGTTTGCTGCTGTTGGTTTGCGGGGAGATTGCGGCTCACTCACTGATCTGACCTCTTCACCTGTGGTTCTGTTGAGACTCTGACTTTCACCTTGGGTCAGTGTGGGGATGTTCTGTGTTTATAAGAATGTGTTCATTTCATCTAAGTTATACAGTTTGTGGCTATACAATTACTTGTAATTCTGTTTACATTTATGGGGTCAGGTGTAATGTCGCGCCTTTAATTTTTCATTTTAGTCCCATCTTTTCTCCTCCTTGTCAAAGGTTAATCAATTGTATTGATCTTTCCTAAGAACTAACTTCTAGTTTCATTCTCTATTGTTTTCTATTTCAATTTGCTCTGATCTGGGTGGTTTTCTTCCTCCCACGAGGTCTGGGCTCAGTTTGCTCTTCTCTGTCTAATTCCTGGTTTTGCTGAGGTAGGCTATTGATCGGAGGCCTTTCTCCTTGCTGCACATAGGCCTTTGTTGCTGTACATTTCCCTCTGAGTGCTTACTGCCTTTGTTGCATTCCATAGGTCTCAGTTTGCTGTGCCTGCATTTTGACTCTAAGAAATGTGTCATTTCTTCCTTGACCCACTAAGAGTTTCAGAGTAACTGTTCAATTCACACGTT